TACTGTGAGACCTCATAGTAATGTTTGTGAATACGGACGTTTGTATTAGCGATAGGGAATATCTTATTCTGAACATGCAGATGCCTCGGCTTTTACCCGTATCTATCTATCAATAAATCAACAATCATATATTTTTTTCTAATCTCATCCGAATCTTTCAGATACAATTTCGATCGCAATGCAATGGCGGGAGATTACTCAAAGAGTTAACATGATTTCTTAAATTATGTTAATAGATTCAGCTATGGTGTAACAGCAGAGAACGTGCGTTGAACCATAAAGTAATTAAGCATTGCACAATAAAGCCTGTCAGCAATAATGTAGCTATTTCGACTGCAGCTATGGGAATACCTCGATTTGTTAACTCCCACATGTAGTTCAAACTCAATAGTGGTTTGCCGACTCGGCCACCAATCTGTTAGGTAAATATTTGGTGAGCAATTGCTAATGTTTTGGGATCATTAACCGGCTGTATTGTTAGTCTCATACATTTCCACAATGATAGATTGAAAGGAAACCTTCTGGTGTCAAAAAGAGTATTTACATGAATTTCTATACTAAAATGCTTCACTGAATTTTAGGCATTTTCTAAAGATGTGGTATTTAAATATGAAAAACCCGTTGTATTTTATGGCCCTTTAGTGAAATTCATATCTGATATCAGTATAAACCGTCAATAAAAAGCGAGTATCACACTTTCACACGTCTTATGCGATATTAATACCGAAGTGACGTAAACCATACTATAGAGACTTTACGAGTAGAAGCAACGGGATATAGTTAGTAACTACAAGTATATAAATGGAAGAAGACATTATTCAGGTTATTATCAGTATAAGAAATGATAGTATTCTTAGACTATGTTACGGGCATTGCGAGTATCTGGGATAGCGTCTGGCCGCAGGGCGCGGCGACCGTTACGGCCGATACGGGCGGGCATTTGATGTAGTAACTGTTTAGGCAGGAAGGTTCCAAGGAAGACTGAAGACATTCAATGAGGATGGAAGTGAAATTATAAAAATTACAGCTATACAGCTGCGGAAATACGGAAAATGATTTTGGTATAACTGCATTTTGGTACTTAGCTGTAAAAATTATTAATAACCTTTAGGTTGCATTTGTGCAATGTGCATGCATTTATGCTGAGATATCTGCTGGTCCTGATAACACCCTAAAATTTAACTAAATTAGACTTAAAAAACCTGCGAGAATCGAGGCTTTATGACACATATTGTTATGACGTGATATACCTAGGACTACGGTAATCCAAGCAAAGTAATAAATTGAATAATAACATCACACCATTATTGTCTTCACTATCATCATAATACACAACAACAAAGAAAGTTCACGTGACCTCCGTTTAGAGCCCAATATATTACCAAAGAACTATGCGCCTGCGCCGGCCCTCGCACAATGAAGTCGTTACGGTAATGGCTGTCGTTTTTCACGGGAGAGCCCGTTTTTTCTGCTGATAGGTGAGTTTAAAACGTTTAATAGGCAGGATTGCTGCATCTCTATCAGGAATATGTAAAACGGACCATGACTCACTAAGATAAAATCTATTCAATAAGCTCTTAAGCACATTCTTCGAAATCTATAATATGGTGTTCATGGTTCAAATTGATTTTGTTACAATAAGTTTCTCTGTTCGATATGTCGTCCGACCTAGTTGCAGTGATGACCTAAGACGTTAAAAATCTTACAATAAGCTCAAAATTATAAGTATTCAAACATGTAACAATTTAAATACTCTGACTCTACTTTATAATATAGGTTGTGACTTGTGAATATGAACCCTCGACGTTAATGAAGTGATAAGCAAACAGCCATGATGGCGTGATGTCCAATCATATTGGTGTTGATGAAAACATATACATATGTTTGAAATAGGTCAGTGTTGCATGCGGAGAGCCATGATCGATGATCCGGCATGGAGGCCGCAGACCTCAGACCTCGCCTCCCCTTTTTACACGCCACCGCGCCTCGTGGGAACTTGCGGGTAAAATATATTAGCTTTTGGTATAGTCAAGCGCATTATCGAAGTTACATTGATACAGTTCATTCACATTCCTAAGGATAGTTAAGGTTAATACTATAGTTTTGGGAAATATTTTTTTCTAACTTAAGTAAATTAGAGAGATTTGCAGAGGAGTCTAAATGGCAAATTTTTCAGTTTACAATGACGATACTAGTAGAGCAATTAGAACGAACGTATCAAAACAAATACAAGACTCCGATGGAAACGGATTACTAATGTTTGGCCAAAAAACGTTTCCCAAATTATCACATCGCAAACAACGTTTCGCAAATTTTCATTTGGCAAATTCTCATTTGGCAAAACCAACTTATTGCAAAGTTTTAATTCGCAAATGTCGTTTTTGGCATATTATTATTTAGCAAATTATTGTTTGGCAAAGTATGTTTTCCCAAATGTTTCATTTGGCAAAAATATTTCACGATAAACTATTTACAAAATAATTTGATTGGTGCATAGAATGGAATACAAATTAGCTTGTGGTTATTATTTTGTTTAGTGGGTAGTTATTATAAAATTTGTCCTAAATTAATTTTCATATTTCATTCTTTTTATCGAAATTTCCAAATGATTCAATAACAATAGAGGTAATTCTTTAGGGTCACTGTTCTAACCTAACCTAACCTACTATTTTCTGCAATACCTACTTTCTGCAACCATACTATTTTCTGCAATCTCTTTGTTTTACATAAAATTCTCGTGAAAACCATGATCTGCCTTATGCTTTGATTTGTGGGTAACGGTGAGTAAGTATGTGAAGTGTCAATTTGACCAAACAAATTATTTGGGGATATAGTATTTGGCAAAATAAAACATTTGCTATATAAACATTTGCCAAGTAAAATTTTGCCAAATGATAATTTGCCCAAATGAAATAGTTGCGAAAAGTGCAGTTGCTAAAAGTTCATTTGGGAAATGAAATTTTGGCGATAAGTTGTTTGCGAAGTGAAATTTGGCGAAAAGTAATTTGGCCAAACGGAAGGATACCGATGGAAACGCTTGTGCTTACAGAAGATACCGTCCGCCTATACTTTCTAGAGCGCAAATAATTATATCACACGGCGTGTCTTTATTAACACATGATTGAGTTTATGAAAAGACTGGAAACGAATACCTCTGAAAATGTCTGTAATAAAGAGAGACATGTGGGTGAACTTGGCGGAAATCACGGATGTTTCCGGTGCCGAGTGTATCGATAATAGATTAACGACTCATTGTCTGCGCGCGCGCATTTATTCAGGCTCAGCTTTTTGCCCATACAACGTTCAGGCCCCGGCTAATTGGTTCCGTTCTTATTCTTCTTTCTTCTCCGCATAACTAACATAATTATTATACAAAAACCCTTGATTGAAGTAATATATTGCGGCAGATGGAGTAAGCAACATTTCTCCTGTGAGGCCTAATTAATGGACACTGAAACTGTGAGAAACTTTTTAAACTAGACAAGTTTTCTTCTATCGTCATAATTAGCGCGTTACTTATGATATTTCACAGATGTTTTAACGCTAGAAGTAATGAGGGTAAACTTGTAAATATAAAAGAAAATCTATCATGAGGTTTATTATTAATATTAAGTCTTCGTTAATTGGATATCTTGTATAAATATATCAGAATAATCTCTTTGCTTGTGTGACACGCTCTGCTGATTTTGACAACTTTCTCGTACCACTATTAGCAACAGTTCAAAGAGTTGAGCCATCTTGATCGGCGAGGTGTTACTGTTTCGCATCGATCGTGTACGTGCAAATATCAAAATCGGCATGCTCCACTTTCTACTATTGGCAGATGAGATGTTCCCATAGATTGGGCGGTAGAAAGCCGCCCGCCCCCCGGACAATAGGGTGACGCAATAATTGAAACAATTACGGACGATTTGTGCGCTTCTATCTTTCATCTTCACGGTTTTCCGCTTAAATAAGCTATTATGTTAGAGTGACCAGGTATTTGACAGGTACTCGCACAAAAGAGTTGGTACCGTTTTATGTTTTGCATGAGGAACTTACTTCTATTGCTTCTTTTGTAACTGAAAGTGCTTGGGAAGCAATTTCCTAAAGAACTTCCCTTGGTTCTTTGTGCACCTATGACGCTTTTATATATTGAATAGAAATAAGAATGCTTTAGAATACCATTGATCATATACATACTATGAATTACTGTAATATGCAGTGTTATTATGGTCGCTTAGTTGGTTGTATTTCAAGATAAGAAGTCCCGCTGAATCTGTGCAGTGTGTACACCTCCGCGGCACCATTTACACGTCCCTGATTGTTTGTGGACGTGCGCCCGCGCGACGCCGACTTTCAATACGGCCGTAAAATTTAAGAGCTCGAATAATCACTTCGCATTGGGTTCCCATGTTAACGAGCATGGAAGACGGAAGCGCAATTACTGAATCTGTTTTGTAATTAAATGTAATTTAAAGTCGTAGCGAATAGAATGTTGTACCTAGTATTATAATGTCGTAGTCGTCGTCGTTTCAGCCAAATGACGTCCACTGTATTATAATGTGTTTCATTTTAATTAAACTCTTTTACGTCCTCATTGTATTTTCTCAATATATTTCATGAATTTAACGCCAGTGTTCTTCGTCATCATTAAATGCCAAGAAATATGATTGGTCTACCAATTACAAGCTTCAATAAATGAATTGGTTAGTTTCACTCGTTGGATTTTTATTGGTGGTCAAGCTGTAGATCCTGGCTACACAGGAGTTATAAATCACTTTGTTTTAGCCCCGTGTTCTGTAGGAAAAGTGGTTGTTTATTTCGCTTAGCTCTAAGAATGTTGTTCACTGTAATATTTTAAATAGTATTACGGGACTATTCCCACCTCTCGTTCCCACCACTGCAACTCCTGTGTAGCCAGGATCTACAGCTTGACCGCCACAAAAACCCAACCAATGAAGGTCAAGTTTGTCCCGGGGGAAAGTTAATTTTAAATAGTATTGTAAGTAGGTACATACCTGTAGAGCGTGGGCGTGTCGTTGCGTTTGGCGGCGGCGTCGGCGTGGTCGATGAGCTGCGCCAGCGCGCGCGCCTGCTCGCCCAGCGTCAGCAGCTCCAGCTCCTCGCGGCCCAGCTTGTACTGCAGCTCGGCCTGCTGGATGCGCGTGTCGATGTTGCTGCGGGCAGGGACACTTGTGAGGACGAACCGTGGAGTTACATGGTTTAGCAGCAAATGACTTATGATCTAGTAAGTGATGAACAAGTAGAGTCCAAGCACCTACTGTGTGACTACGAGCGATCTGCTGGCTACAATAAGAATGGATCTTCTAAGGTTGGTACATATGGCATCGGAAGAATATAGACTCCTTTCACCCAGGAACAATTTAACCAAATACAAAGTTGGAGGATAATATGGAATGAGGACATCGATTAAAAAGATCCACGTTAAGGCGTGGTCCCAAATAAGATAACATAATCATCATCATTTTCAGCCATAGGACGTCCACTGCTGAACATAGGCCTTCCCTAAGATAACATAAGAATCAAGCTAAATGTGAGTAAGACATATCAATCAGAGGATATATTTTGTAATTCTCGTACCAATCTATGTAAATGTAGAGATTGAAGATAAAACAAGGTGCGCAAAACATTGACTGCTTACGCAAGACATAGAGCTAGCTAGTCTACACACGCGGCGCTCGTCGGCCGACAGGTCAGCTGCTTGAGGCTGGGGATGATGTGTCTACTCACTCGGTGACATGCGTCTTCTCCAGCCGCTTCCTCAGCTCGTGTATGTTGTTCCTCCTCGCCTCGAGGTCGGCGCGCACGGCGGCGGCGCGCTCCTCCAGCGCGCGGCGCTCGTCGGCCGACAGCGCGGGCGCGTCCTCGCCGCGCGCCACCGGCGACGACGCCTGCGCAGCCAGCCGCGCCGCGCTCAGCGACGCGCTCAGCTGCTTCTTGAGGCTGGGGATGAATTTGTATTGCACAAATTACTAATACTCCCGTTAGCCCCTCGTGTTGAGCTAAATAAGCTTGTGTTACGAGTGGGCTCACCACAATAGTCGAGCAGCGGTGGGATTCGAACCGGCGTTCCTCGGATCTCGAGTCGGCCAGTCCAACCCATTCACCGTATACCTTAAACCTTACTAACTGGTAACTTACATGACTAGTAATAAAATAACTTATTTGGAGGGTGACTGAAACACGCAATACCATAGAACTTATTATTTTACACGTCAAATGAAGACGTGATTATGTAAGTATGCGATTGTAGAACTCTTACCTTTGTATGAGCGTGTCTTTGTCACTGAGCGCGGTGCGTAGCGCGTCCAGTTCCCGGGTGACGTCACGTGCGCCCGCGCTTCTACGCCGGGAACCAGCCAGCGAAACCTCGATGCTGGCCATCTACAGACAAAACATTAATTTTAACTATAGTTTTAGAAGAGTTAAATGAAGACTCTTAAACTACCTGCTCTATTCTTAAAGTTTTTTCAAAAAATTAAAGTTATGCAATTGATAAGTATTTATACTCGTAATATGCCTAATTTGTATCGCAGGTACATTTGATTGCTATACTGGGTTTATCTAACTCCTTACTTTAACGTCTGTAAATTACGTTTGCAAAATTCAACTATTATATTACATTCCTCTCATTCATCAGTATAAATAGTTAAAAATAAATGTATCCTAATTAAGTTGTCAAGTAAGTATAAAACAATGGTTCTCAGATATGAAATGGTGGAAGAGTAAAATATAATTGTTTAAAATGACTAAAGTGTCTTGTTGTACCTATCATCCATGTGTGGTAAATTATGTATTTATGTAATCTTTTCGACGATCGACTAACAAACTTGATTATTATGTTTGATATGCAACACATCTTAAGATTAAAATACACAAATAATTAAATTATTCAAACTCAAAATGAATCTAAAGCTAGATCTTTTGCAGCCCACAGGATAAATGATCCGAATACCTTCGTAACTAACTCGTTTATCCACAAGATGTGTTTCGTGACCCGTGTTGTGGATTGAACTTATCGCGATTTGCATCTTGTAATTCTACGATTATACAAACATCCTAGTGAAATATTACACAGTTCTATGACCGGTTAGGGTTGAGTTTTATATGCTCATCATGAATTGAGTGTAGTTATCAGTGAAGAATTTATATTAGCTTAGGCTTACTAGCTCAATTTCTTTCTAGATATCCCGCAACAGGTTATTGGTTTATAACTTATTAGGTCATACTTAATTATGTATGACCTAATAAGTTATATTGTTATAATAATAAATTACTTTAAGATCTGATATGTATAATGTGAACCTGATTCTTAAAATGCATCGATTGTTTAGTTAAATATGTGGATTCGTGATTTTTGTAGTTTAGTTATACTCGTACAAGTGTTTATAGTCTTTTTCACCTAAGATGATCCGTATGACGTTTCGAGTTTGAAAGATTTAGAGATGTCACATAACTAAATCATAGCGATTTATCTATCGATTTTTTTCGAAGAGTTAGTAAAACCTACTTTTAGAGAATTATTTTGTATAGGTGTTATTTAACAAAAAAAACATGTTTTTTTTAATTACAAATATTATTGTAACAATTTTTTATTGATAACATTCAAATTTCATGGTTCGTGTTCAAAAAAACGATTCCTAAAAAGTATTGGTTCTGTTTCTTTAAATTAAAAACTATTAATTTATATTCAATGCGTTTATTAAAGTCAATAATCGAAAAATATAGTTGGTTTTTGTGATGTTTTTAATAACTAAGTATTCACTGCAATCGATTAATGAACCGCGGAAATAATCGATTTTATTATACAAGAAATACCCCAGCACTAAATCTATTCCGTTTCACACATTGCGTACATTACATAAAAAATATTTTTACATTGTATTTAATTAAAATATAATCAATAGACTCAGATTTTACTATATATTTCAAGACAAGTATTTAATTTTTTTTTATTATATTTTTTTTTTTTTTTATCCACAACGAGGAAGCTCTTGGCCTGTATCTCACCTTAATTAAACTTGTATTGCTAATAAAATACAAATATTTTTTAAAAAATATTCTGCATATGTAGTATGCGTAATATGGATAACTTTGAAGTGTCATACGGATCATCTTACGTGAAAAAGACTATAGTAGTTAAGTTTATCTGTCAATTCTGTTAATTGCGGTATGACAGCTCTACCTATTTAAGCACGGCCCATCCCTGATCGTGGAGTACAGTGTAGGTGGGCCTAGTTCGAGGAACGTTTTCCGCTCGGTAAGGGCTGGCGCCCACCGCGCAGTCACGATGCGTCTGCGCCGGTATCACTGCACTCAGGGCTAATATTACCCATTTCATACGCTCAAATTGTTCAGTGGGCGTTGCAGCTAGACTTCAAACAAGTATAAACTTCCTTTCCTAGTATTAGTTAATTATGATGTACTTCTTGGTAGTAATGTTGATTAAAAATAATACAGTATTACACTACACAATCACATAACCTGATATTGCCTGTGTGGTACAGATGGAAGAAAAAACAAAATGCTAATTACTTGGTTAACAAAAGTTGAAACATGTGTTAAGTTGAAATTCCAGAAGCAAAGTCAGGTGATAAGGTTTAAATTGGTTTTTATAGATAAAGTAATAATAAACAGTTATGGACAACCGTTGTTTACTGATGACAATCTGAGAATTACTTTAAAAGAATTTTCATAAAACCATTTATGGAGTTAGGTACGAGTTGGCATACTTGTTAGTAGAAAAGCGGCTCAATTTACAATCCACCGACAACTTATTTGTGCCGCTAGAGAAGCTCCCACAGTTTCATTTATTCCAAGTATTCCCTTCCGTTAGTTAATTAGTAATTATGATACAGGACGCATAAAACCGCGCATCCACCTGTGGGGTTAAACTTGGATGACCAGTAATATTCTTGCTAGTTTTTACTGTCATGGTATCGTGAGTACATTGCTTTAGTAATTTTTGAACTTAATGTGAAAGTGAAGGTACTCGTCGATAGACGATATCTGTACCTCGTTTTACTATTAGGGGCAGAGGGTAACAAAGGAACATCTGCTGTAACATATAAACATAATTTTATTCATCTTTGACAATTTTTCAAAAGTGAGGAACCCTAAGCATTAGGGGGCCTATTAGGACATTTAGCATTGAAACTTATAATGTCGATTTCTTTGCTACAATTATTTCCTTATCCTACTTCCTTCGCACGAGTCTCACTGGATCGCTGACCTTAATTAGGTTGTGCGTTAATTAGTCGGCTGCGATAGAAGCTGTGTCGTTAGCGTCAACCGCTCCACGCGCGGAAGTCGTAGACCTGCGCACGCGCACGCCTGGGTGCGCATCACGGCAGTTAACACTCCGAAATGAGCCACACTGTCGTTAATAACTACGACTTGAATTGGAAAGATCCAAATGACACTAAACTTTTTGTGTTACGTACCTAAACGGTTTAAAAATAGATTGAGCTCATCGCTTATGTTATTTTTCTAATGGTGTGCTCACTACACTATCCGTCGTCCGCGATTTTGTCTTTATTATATTCGTATAATTGGGTAGGTAAGCTAAGCTTAGTAAAATAACTATACAATGGTTGTAGCTGTTTCTAATCTTAATGTAGTTTCCGAGTCTTGTACGTTGTTGGTGCGTGCTCAAGCCGAGTCAAAGCTCATAGGAAATGTACCCGTACAGATGGTATCGGACTACCGCGGCGCGATCGGCGCGCGCATCGCGATCGCGCTGCTGCGCTGGCGGTTACGAAACAAATGGTTTACAAGAAAAAGGAGGAAAATTTTCAATACCTTAGGTAGTTTTCTTTGCTGAAGAAATATCATCAAGGTTGACTTTTAAATTAGATAGGGACTAGGTACATGTAAGAAGAAAAGAAGTGTAGGTTGGTAAGTTTTTAGAAGTTCCATCAGCAATGAAAAGACGATTACTGTCTGCTGAGGTAAAAGATTTGAATTTCTATTAATGAAAGTATTGCAATCAGAACCACATACGAGTAAAGATATCTTACGTGCTGATAATAAATGCACAATTAAAGTAAAAAAAGAAAAAATAATTACACGACTTCATTAAAATCAACAAAATGAATGCTGCCTTTACAGAATTCAAAATCAGTTAAATTCTTGTAGAGTCGCATCTACTGACAATAACAAACGGCTCGCCGCTCTACCCATATTATTTTCCGCTGTTCCACTCGAGTTAGTGCATTCGAGTGTTCCCGTTTCGATTGTGCGAGTAGGTACACTACTCGTTTTCCCAGCGATTGTTCTCGCTACACTCGCCGCCCTTTTCTCACGTGGTGATACCACCAGATCACGCGAGCTGATAATCTGGAGATGATCTTGGATTGTCTCCGAGTGGTAGTTAGACATTTCTTGCGTACCCGTAATTCTTTAGAATGGTGCTATTTAGCCTTTTTAGATCATGTAGCGGTTATGTTAAGACGTAATTTTTTACCCGACTGCGCCAGAGGGTTATGTTTTTGGTGCAAATATTTTTAAATTGCAATGGTATATGGCTGATATGAAAACCTTATTGGTTTTACAAATAAATATCTCCAAGCTCATCTCACTCACTGGGAAAAGCAGGATTAAGAATATACTATTTAGACCTAAGTACTCGTATCTAGAATCTAGACACACCGGCTCCGTTGATATTTTTTTGTTGTTATCTCACCAACATTCTCCGCATTTATTTTAAAATTTATTCGAATTGTAATGAGAGTTCGTTTCAATTTAAATTAGCATAATTTATTCACATCTTGATTGTGTCGTTGATTGTCAACCAATTAGAATATTCTAAAAATTAAGAATATTCATAAAATGCGAATTTAAATGTAAATCCACGTACAATTAGTATCCAGTCGAGTGCTCTGGAGCATTTGATAGCGACCAGTTTATTCCTGTAGCCAGACAGACGCTTGATAGCCGGCGCTTCATAGGCCCAGGCATTGATACGAGCTGATAGTTAACCTTCCACTGGCCAGGGGTGTTGAACACCACTCTCCAAGTAGAAGATATGATATGTACATTGAATATTTTTTGCTTTTAATATTCATACTTTTGAGGTTGGAGTTAATGCATGCATGAGGCAACACAACAGTTTCCTTTAGACCAAGTCTCATAAAATATAGATGTTGCTTAATGTTTACTAAAATTCTACTTTTTATTTATTACTAGGCTTGTAAAAGCTCTCTGTGTGCTCCTCATGACATACATCAGTCCCACAACCAGCATGTCTCATATTGAGCACAGATTTAAAATATGTATCTAGTTTATAAATGTGCCGACGTCTGAGTAGGGTTAACATTGCTCTCGCGAGTCCAGCCGTCCAGCGCAGCGCTCGCGCTCGTCTAATGCGCGCAATTTGTACCCGC